TCCTATCCTGGATACTGTTTTAAATGGAGTTTATGCGATGTTTGAAGTCGTAAGTTCAAGTGACAATATCTGCTTAGCCTCATGCCACATGTTTTGTGTTTCCTGTTTCACAGTTTAACTTTTCCTAGGTGCGGATCAAAAGGCATCGGTGGCACAATCGTATCCTGAAAAGCTACGACCCTTTGATAATGTCGCTTGGCTGGCGACGTTTCCAATCACTTATGGTGTACATGGTTCAAGACCACAACGGAAGGAATCGGCTGCTTAAGTATACCCCAGAGCACATGCACTGTTGTGCTCTCTTTTGGGGTGTGAACCTTCGGTTTGTGATTTTGTTGTAGCGAAAGTCATATTCGTAATTTAGGACCTCTAACTCCGCAAAACACCGGCTTCATCGCCGTGCAAAGCGTTGCTTCGACATCGGTAATTTTTGAAGCGTTTCACTTTTAAGCAAATTCTTTTTTGTTTTTAGAAAGAATTCAGACTTGCGGCAAACGGTGTAGTCCTAAACTTGGACAAGTCGCTGACAGTGGTGAAAAAGTTGAAGCTTATCGGTACCCCCTACAAGGTGTATACGAAAAGTGCGTTTGTCGAAGTAAGGAAGCTCTAGCGCGATGCTGCTACTGTAGGTTACGTACGATACTCATTTTTAGGGTATGTTCAGTTCTACTCTGGAAGTTGCCAAATTTGAAGGCGCCGCGTTACGAACGGTCAGCGGCTTAAGGGGGCAGATTAAAAAAGCGTTGCGCAGCCCACCAGGTGCTTTCCGTGCTAGCTTCGAGGACAAGATTTTGCTCAGGGGTACGACGATTCGCACACTTCCCTTCTCTCGCCATTTTAGTTCTAATGCATAGACAGTCGACGTCAGTCGTTTCTTTATCCAAAGTTTTGGTTAATTTTGTAAGAAATAGGATAAATAATTATTTTATGCATGAAACATTTTATGCACACTTGCCGAGTTTCAGTTAATGTTAATAATTTACGATAGGAGTGGTAACATTTTTTTTGTAACGTTATCTGGTTAATGTTTATTGCGTGATAAGAGTATTCGATTTGCTTCCGCCACAGTTATGAATTGGCATATTCTGATTCAGTGACGTGGTACATGCGTCTTATGCACTGTACGTGCTTAAATGCCATGTAGCGGTGGCCTGCTCTGATGGACCCCCTGTGGGACTAACAGGAAGGAGACAGTATACTGCTCTGATATGACCTGGTGTAATGACTTCCATCCATCTGACATTGCGGTAGATCGGTGTAAAATAGAAAGTTACGATGCAGTATGTACTGCAACACATCAGAGTATATACATAGCGTTTTATTCTGAAGGCATCTGCCATATTTTAGATTATAGATTATGCCGTACAAAGATTTGTACTTGGCAGGAGGGTAGCTCGTTTGCGAAGGCATTTGAGCCTCGTTAGCGAGTGCCAAAGTATACTCCTGCTAATTGGAACGTCGTCTTAACCCCTTAGCAAAATACATGTTCGAAAATATTTTAATTTTTATGATAAATCAGTATATACTATTCTGTTTTGGTCTTCACGGTCCAACTGATGTGCATGTGCAAATTTCGATACACAAAGTTTACTTGAAGCAATCAAATTTTCATGTTATTTGCAGTGCGTATTCCTAAGAGTAAACTTGTAAATGATGTAAGTTTTACCACGCGCGATTTTTGTAAGTTCATTATGTAAATATGGAAATCTATGCATCAGTAACAAAAATAAATTCCAATATTTTGAAATTGCTAGCACACTGCTAGTTTTCAATCCAACATGTAAGAATAGCGATCTCCTGTCTCTTTTCCGGATTAACACGGCGTAACGCATTGACCCTTTGCTTCTAATAACTTTTAAATAGGCCGCAGCTTCAGGATAATGTACTCCCTGTAGCGCATGGTGGAAAAAGCACTACGTGTTGGGTGGAACCCATACACGTATATGCACTAACGCATGCACCTTTGTCAATTTGTAACAGAAGTATTTTCTGTCATTATAGGGTCAAAGGCGCTTGTACGGATTGAGCAGACGAGGAAAGATTTAAATAACGATTGAAGTGATTCGGTTTTCTACATGCCAAGAAATAGTTTAAATAGTATAAATTATAGTTTCCGTCAACGTTATGCTTAATCAAAATATCATGAAGAGGTGACATTATACAGTCTTCTTTTTCTAAGGTGAATTTTCAGAGATTCTTAGTTAATCTGGTGATTATAATAGAGGAGGAATAAATTGATTGAATCAGTATGATTAATGGTAAGCATTAATATGACATCAGTGTACACGTATATAACAGTTTGTATGTTAGGAGGACAATGCTCTAAGGCTTTCGTTTTAAAATAGTCCATGTAGATCTCGACTAGGGTAACATCGATAGATGAACCCATCGGATCCCCAAGTCGTTGCTTGTACACCACGTTATTAAAAGTAAAGAATAGGTTTGTCGTCAGAAGCGCGACTTGTGACGGAACATCTTTGGCATTCAACGTGCTGAATGGTAAGCCACCGTTGCTCCAGTCGATTTTGGTGTTCAAATTGTTCAAATTATTACAAAGTATTGTTTAAACGATTCTAGATATGTATTATCTTACCGGACAACTACTTCCAAAGAATCCATAATCATCAGTTCATTTTAATGTATGCAAGTTTTGCTTATAGCTTCTGTCAGATTGGTGCCATTCCATAGGTGATATCTTATTTTTGACCATTATTCGTATTTGATCCAAGTATATGCTGATTGAATTGGAAATATCGCACATAATAGGAACAGTGACTCTAAGCTGTAATACCAATCTGTGGTGTTTTAACAGTCAAATTCACTGGGTAACCTGCAAGAATCGCAAGTTGGTAACATGTTTCTGACGAAGTTATTATCTATGTTATTTTTTTAAAGAAGCTTGTTCATAAGATTTTTGAGTAATTTCCTAATTTTCGGTAGAAGGTTGACTTATACTGCTATATATGGCTTATATCAATATTACTTATATTTGTGAAGTCAGAAATCGATTAATTTTTGCAGTGATTGAGTTAAAAATTTGTGAACTTATTCTCGCGCTTGTTCGACTGTTCATGGTGCTGCTAACAACTTGCCTTTTCTTGAAGAGAAATCCAGTCATATTCTAAATACGGCACTTTGTTTGGCCAAGCAGTAGATGATTACTTCATATCACATTCCGGCCTCAGGAAAACCTACTGTGTACTCAGCAGATTTCCTGATATTAAACTGCTGTTAGTGTAGCCGCGCATTACAAGTATATACAGAAATATGAATAGTGTTTCCTCGTCTTTCTGCCTCTGTTTTTGTACTGGTATTTCGTCTTGCGTTTTGGCCATATGTTCCACCCATTATAATCCTCGATCTGGAGAAGAGGCTGCTCACAGATGGAGGTATTTCAGGTTGCTGTTTTTTGAAGCTTGTCGAGTTTCGAAATTTCAGCGGTCCTTCAAC